ATGCTGGGACAATCCAAGCATGTTGACAAAAAGGAAAGGAAAGAAAAGAAAGAATATAGCAGCGTACTGCCGAAAATGTTAAAAATGACAAGGGATTTAAAGTATACCAAAGGAACAGGAAGACATCAGAAAAGGTGAATAAATTACTTGTGCGTCTACAGACAATGTATAACAGATACTTATGCCTGAATTTTTTTTGTCAGATAAGATGTTTGGAGATTTGAGTTTAACAGAAGTAGCCAACGACAGTGTTCTATGGTTTACTGAAATTAAACATTAACAAATTGAAAATAATGGATGGCATTAACAACTCTGTATGATTTGGTGAGAATTAAAACAGACATATATTTATTTAATATGTCAACTCTGTGCTCAGAACAATGTACAACAACAACAACAATTGTAAGATAATATATAGTATATTCCAAGAAAGTAAGGCAGTCATTCTCCCTTCACGGATTGCTGCCTTGTCGTGGCAAAAGGGCTTGAGTAATTCAGAGAAGCTATGGGCTATGCCGTGCAGGGACACCCAAGACGGACAGGTCATAGTGGAGAGTTCTGACTAAATGAGATCCACCTGGAGCAGGAACTGGCAAGCCACTCCAGTATCTTTGCCAAGAACACTCCATGGACAGAAACAAAAGGCTAAAAGATCATCAGCTTCTTACAGCAAAATTCCAGCTTAAACTGAAGAAAGTAGGAAAAACCACTGAGCTAGTCAGCTATAATCTAAACCAAATCACTCATGAATAGGCAGTGGAAGGGAAGAACAGATTGTAGGAACTAGATTTGGTGGACAGAGTGCCTGAAGAACTATGGATGGAGGCTCGTAACATTGTACAGTAGGCAGCATCAAAAGCCACCCCAAAGAAATGGAAATACAATAAAGCAAAGTGGCTGTCCAATGAGGCCTTAGAAATAGCAGAGAAGAGAAGGGAAACAAAATGCAAGGGAGATAGGGAAAGTTACAGAAAATGGAATGCAGACTTCCAAAGAATAGCAAGGAGAGACAAGAGGGCCTTCTTAAATGAACAATGGAAAGAAATAGAGGAAAAGAATAGAAAGGGAAAAACCAGAGATCTGTTCAAGAAAATCGGAGCATTTTGTGCAAAGATGGACATGAAAAAGGACAAAAATGGGAGGGACCTTATAGAAGCAGAAGACATGATAAGAATACACATAGGAACTATACCAGAAAGAGCCAGACATCCTGGAGAGTGAAGTCGTGGGCCTTAGAAAGCATGGATAACAACTAGACCAGTGGAAGTGATGGCATTCCTGTTGAACTATTTAAAATCTTAAAAGATGATGCTGTTAAGGTGATACACTCAATATGCCAGCAAGTTTGGAAAACTCAGCAGTGGCCAGAGGATTGGAAAAGATCAGTCTACATCCCAAACCCAAAGAAGGGCAGTACCAAAGAATGCTCCAACAACTGTACAATTGCACTCATTTCACACGCTAGCAAGGTTATGCTCAAAATCCTACAAGGTTTGATGGATTAATAAAACTTTGAAAAATGAACCCAGGATTTGGAGATTAGGTACTAGTATATGTGGACATTCACAAATTACTGAAAAAATGAAAAAGGATATTAAGCTGTTCTATAAAGTCAATAGTAAGAAAGAAGTGAAACCAATAGTTACAGTATATGGGATACTCTTAAAACATATTCAAGGGGGGAAATCATCATGGAGGGATTTAGATTAATAGAAGAGAGAGGGAAATTACAAATACAATTAGAAGATAAAGTAAGAGTATTACAAGAACAACATAAGAAATAAGGATCTAATAAAATATTGAGAGAAATGACAAAAGCTAGAGCAGAATTAGAAACACTGGATATAAATAAAACTCAAATTGCAATGAACTATTTAAAGAGGAATTACTATGAATATGAAAATAAAAACTCCAAATTATTATCAAATACCATAAAAGGGAGTTATTTGAAAAAAAATTGTCAAAATGGAGGGGGCGGAGCAACGGGCAGCGGATGGGTTTTATTCCGAGTCAGCGGACCCCCCCTGGAAAGGGGGGGCAGGTTTTCCATAGGAGAAGTGGTCTTGCAGCAAGTGGAGCTTGGAAATGCCGAGAATCAGACTTGCAATCTCTTTTTTCAGAAGTTTCCTTTCCTCATCACAACTGACTCATGAAGTCGCCATGATGAATTGGTGAGTAGCTGCCCGGAGAAGGGGGAGATAAGAAGATTTACAATCTAACTACATGAACAGAGGTTGAACGGCTATTTTTTAAGGCAATAGATCAGATTTTTTTTCCCCTTGGAAGTGGAGAAAGATCTCTAAGCAGCAGAGAATCTGGGTAAGCCTTTGCAATGTTGGAGTTTTTCTTACTGCATCACGACTGAGAGAACTGGGAAAGTGAAACTAACTTTGTCTTTTCCACTTCAACCCTCTCTCCCCAAGAACTGGCTTTTTATAAATTAGAAGCTTGACAACCTTGAATAACTCTGAACAATTTAACCTATGGAACTTTGCTTTGAGCCATAAAGGTGGATTATAAATCAAACACTGTAGTCATATTTACAACCAGAATATTCTTCGCAAGACTCTGAATTCGGGCTGGCTAAGGAACCATGAGGGAAATCTGAATAATTAGTCTGTTTGACTTTTATAGTTACGGATTAGAGATAGAGTGTGCGACTCATTATTGGAATTCACAATGAAGGTCTATCTCGTATGCTGTCTTCAGGAATTTCAATTCAATGTCATCAATCAATTTAAGGATCAAATTTCAGAAGTGAAGACAGAAATTAAGACGACATTTCTTGGCCTGAATATTAAGGCGGAGATAGGAGACAAACCGACCAAATTCACTGAACAACTCCTATCATCAGACAGCGAGGAAGAGACTATTTTTCTTAAGAAGCAGGAGATAGGAGACAAACCGACTGAACACACTGAACTCACTGAATGACTGCCATCGCCGGAGAGGGAGAAAGAGACTGTTTCCCTTAAAAGGCAGGATGAAATGTTTAAAAATGAGAAAAGGAGGGGTGGGGATAAGGGGGGGAAAGCATATTGAAATTACCTCAATAGAAAAGAATGTAAAAAGGGAGACATGGATGAATTTGGGGGCAGAAATTTATGATCAGAGATTGGATAGATCTGTGTTGCTTCAAAATCAAGTCATCGATTATACTGGGATGAAATTAGTAAATCAGATAGAAAATGCCTTGAAGAGATTTCATAGATGGCATTTTAAAGCTGGCAAAAAGGAGGCAAGAGACGACTCTTGGACGTATGACACTGGAGCTGAGAAGCAAAAATGAAAAGGGAGAAAGTAACTTGCTGATTAAATGATAAAAATCATTGGTTTGAGAGATATATTGTCACACATAAAGCAATATGAGTAATTATACTATAAGCAATTTTGGCCAGGTGGGAATCTTAATGGTAGACAAGCATATTTAATTATGAATTTTAGAAAGGTTGATGAAGAATAATAATATCAGATATTTTTGTTTTCATGGTACATATATAGAGATTAAATATGTGTGAATTACTATAGTGATTATGTAGATAAGATTAGATACACAATACTTTTTTATCTGTAAAAATGGAGATATTTGAGGAATGTATTGTCCTGGTTGGGAGTTTTTTGGTGGATAAGTAATCTTGTAGATGAAATTAGGAATGCTTATGATGAGTATTGGATAGATGGGTATGCAGGTGAAAGAATTTATAGCGATTTTATAGATGGCACTTCAAAGCTGGAAAAAAGACTATAGGCTATAAGTAATCTGAAATCCCTGGTGTATACATGGAGCTGAGAAATATAACAAAAATTGGAAAGTTACTTGCTGAACGTTTTAAATGTTTGATAAGTACATATAATGTTTAAATTAGAATATGTATCTTGATTATAACTGTTCGGAAGTTATTGATGATAAGACAAAAATATAAAGTCACTAAGTAATATATGAATCATAGTTTGTCTATGTAGTTAAGAATGGTTTGAATATAAGATCAATATAGGTCTAAGCTTATATATTAGATAATGTGTGTACAGTATGTTAATCATTATAAAGCTAGGAAGTCATGTTCTGATCTTAATAATGGTTTAAATATCTTAGTACGGTAATATGGTTTACGTAGTCAGAACTATATACCAGCTGGATGTATGGAAATTACCTCCCCGCATACATGTTTGTGTTTGTTTTTTATGTCAGTTTGAGTTATAATTTTAAAAATTGTCAAAATAAGGACGATAAAATAGTAACATCACAAAAGCAAATTCTAACAACTTTTTATTTGTTTATTTGTTTATTTGTTTATTTGTTTATTTGTTTATTTATTTAACTTATATGCCGCCCACTCTACTCAAAGACGTATTATAGAGAACTACATTAAACAGAAATAGGACCAGAAACGGATATTCAAGGTTTTGTGAGCTCTTTACCAAGTAATCCAATTAGTGAAGAAAATAAAAACCAACTTAACTCACCAATAACACTTAAGAGATTTAAAAAATAACTATTAAAAACTTAAGAAGGGGAAATCACCAGGTTGTGATGGCTTCACAGCAGACTTCTATAAAATATTATTTATTTTATGGGAGGACGAACTACCTGAACACCTATTAGAAGTATATAACTCAATAATGAATGGGGAGAAATTTCCAGACTCCTGGAAAGAAGTGAGAATAATAGCTATCCCAAAACAAGATAAAGACACTACAGTTCAATCTGCGTATATGCCAATAACTTTACAGAATCAAAACATGGCATTTTTCCTCAATATTACTGTTGTTATTCTTATGTTCAACCCTCTATTTGGCCTTTATAGCAAAAAGTCGGATTGGCTATAGCATAATAGCCCATAATCCTATAAAGAATTAGGATTAAGGCAATGTCAAGAAGGAAGGAAGGAAGGAAGGAAGGAAGGAAGGAAGGAAGGAAGGAAGGAAGGAAGGAAGACTGAATTTATAGCCCATTTTCTATATAAATCCTTACAAAGTGACATTGATATGAAGGCATTTACCTTGAATTCTTCCACAATAATAGCCAAAGCCTCCTGGCCAGCTCTTCTTAAGTCTTCCAACTCAAGCTTATGCTTCTCCTGCAAACAAATGTACAGCCATACATTAACTATACAGCCCGACTAGCTCATTTTATTTAGTCCAATGGACAAAAATAAAATCATACGTTTTACCCAGAATGCATCTGGGTTGTCTCACACTTACAATGTTACTTTTTTTTAATAAGGCAGACATACCAAAAACAATTCATACATTAGGAGAATCCATTTAAGTGCAACTGAAAAGTCCTTCGCATATGGTATTAACCCATATTGGGACAGTAATGCTCAAGAATAGTTTAATCATATCTAGTGTAAGGCAGCTTTAATTGTAGATAACTGCCAGGAAGGCCATTTTCCATATGCTTCTCACATGAACTTTACCCACCAAGAACAGGTACCAAGAAGCAACTGAGGAACATAGTACACCGTGAGAGACAGATCGTCTTCCACCACTTGAAGGACCATGTCTTCTAAAAATGTGCAGACCTCAGCATCTGGTGTGACTTAAACAAAGAGCAGGAAGACAGATGGTCTGGCTGGACATATAACTGCATGAAAAAAAATCTTAAATGGAGTCACCCCCTTCCACACACTGGACCTACTTCTGTGAAATGCATCTTGACCTAGGGTTTTTATATCCCAAAATTACAGGCCTACAGAAAAGTTGCAAAGTGACATGCATTTTTGTATTCCTTCATCATAAATGCTGTTGTGGAGCTGCAGTGGTTAAACTGCATTCAAGACTCTACTCACAACCTGAGTTCAATCCCAAAAGGCTTAGGTAGCTGGCTCAAGGCTGATTTAACCTTCCATACCTTCGAGATTGGTAAAGTGAGTACCCAGCTTGCTGGGGGGGGGGGCTAATATGTAGCCTGAACAATTAAATTACACGCTATGCAGAGAGTGCTTTAAGAGCTATGGGGCAGTATATAAGCAGCACGCTTTGCTTTCCGCCATCATGTCACATCTGACTTATGATGATCCTAGTAAGGGTTTCAAGGTACATGAGATATTTAAGGAGTGTTTTTACCATCGCTACCATCCAACAAGTTTCCATGGCTAAATGGCACTCTGAACCCCATTCTCCTGAGTCCCAGTCCCAGAACTTTATCCACTACACCAGTCTAGCTCTAAAAATTTGCCATCGAGTCAGATCTAACTTATGACAACTCTTTTGAGGTATGTGAGGTATTTTACCAGCACCACCCCTCACTGAGTTTCCATGGCTGAATAGGGATTTGCTCAGGTCACTTGATCCTAGTCCAGCATTCTAACCACTACAACACATTGGTTCTCTTAATCAGACTATCAATGATTTCTAGCTGTTTATTTTTAAATCTAGTGTTGCATTGTAGACCAGAGATGGTAGAAAATACTTAAATGTTGATCCCTACTGTTGCGGCTATAATCATGGAGCCTTTTCACATTTTTACACTTTAATTAAGTAAAATAATTGCTTCATTGATTTTTATCCTCAATTATATCCTCTATTATTGATTGCAATTATGCATATTTGGGGGAAGGGTGTTCTTTTTAATGTTATTATTGTAGTCACTATAAATGTTAAGTTTATTTGTATTTGAATTTGTATTTTTGGGGAGCCATTTTGTAAGCTATCCTTAAAAATACCCTTAAATATTTCACAGGGGAAAAAATAAGCAGCAAGCAAGCTTTCTCTTTTTCCTCCTGGCCTCTAACATAATCCCACAACTGGGTAACTCGTAAGCTGACATACCTGAGGTATGTGCTGGCAATATCATTAAAAGAGACTCTTAAGAACAGCTTCTCTAAATGCAGCATCAGCATTTTTCCATGGCACCAAGCTTGATAAATGTGAATGGAACAGACCACAGCTTTGTGAAGTTCAGATACGTGTGCAAGAGTGCATGTGTTTGTATAAAGTTGATAAAGTAACTTCTCAAACAGAATAGCCCTTTGCATTTATTAGACATGGTTGCTTGGCCAACTGGTAACCACACAGAAAAAAAAGTAAAAAATTGCCCAGTGAGAACAGCCAAAAGCATTCTGAATTCCAGCATTTCTGGTTTGAACCTGAAAGACATTCAGCATGTACAGTTTCTATCATACGAAGACTTCAGAGTAAATTAAACAATTTTAGAACTGTGGCAGAGGTATTTTAGAGAGACAGAACAATGAACAAATGTACTTGTGCATACAGGAAAGTGTTGGACTGTCACACACAGGTCATAACTCTTCTGCTCAACATCCTACTGAAAAAGCAACCATGGTGGTCAATGTTAGCTGTTTGGTCAAAGAGTCTACCCATGAAGTGAGTCATGCCTTTGAACAAGCTTACAAGGTAGAGATGTGAACCTGGCAAAGGAACCAGTCCTTTCTGGAAAAAAAAGTTCTTGAACTTGAAAAAAAAAAGTCCCACTGCTTTCTTCCTTAGCAACAGCATTCACAAATAACAACAACTCAGTTTTATGCAAAAAGCTGACATTTTGTTTTAAAAACTGTGTATTCTGTGCAAAACACCAGGTCTGCCATCCAAATTTTAACTCTTCACATGCATACACACAAACCCTTCAGTGAACTTTCTTGCAAATAAGTGCTGAAATGTGAAAAATGCACATAAACTCTTATAATCTCCCCAAGGAAAGAAAATTTTGATTTGCTTGATTTGTTTGTTCTACCCTCCAAGAATGAAGATTTACAACCCTAATGAAGGCACTGTGCGAAACAGTCATAAAACAACAGGCAGGGCACTGTGCAAAGGGAAGGCAGTCCAACTGGAGTGAAAGTCAGACTCAACAGCAACGTCTATCCTTACTCCTTTCTCAAAATATGTGCAGGTATTTATAATTCTCCACCTACAGCAATGACTTCCAAACTGTGTGCCAGAACACATTTTTATCATAAGGATAATTGAAGAGCGCTTTAAAACATCTACTAGGCGTGAAGTATCAATCACACAAAAATCCCTATGTGATAGGTAAGGACTATATGACACAAAAGCCCACCCATAAGATGTGGACACCGAACCAAAATGTTACTGTTTGTGAGATTTTTGTTTATATATTGACAGGTGTGACAGAATCTCAGAAACACCATCACTGGTTGAGAGGGTAATCTCATAGCTGCGAGCTATGAAGCGAAATAGGAGATGGCTAGAGTGCAGTTGGAGACAGAAACTCACGGATTATAATAAGAAAGCTGTCAGGATCGCGACAGCTTTTTTGGGGGGTGACTCTTGCCGTGAAGAGTGAGGTTCGCAGCTTGGGGGTCCATCTGGATCCGGAGCTCACCATGGAAACCCAGATGGCATCAGTGGTCCACTCCGCCAATTACCATCTGTGGCAGATTGCCCAGCTGCATCCCTATCTTGATGGTGGGGCCCCCACCACTCTGGTCCATGTGCTTGTAATCTCAAGATTAGACTACTGTAATGCGCTCTACGTGGGGTTACCTTTGAGATTGATGTGGAAGTTTCAAATGGTGCAGAATGTGGCAGCCAGATTACTTAGTGGAGCAAGAAAATTCCAACATATCTCTCCCATTCTGGCTGCTTTGCATTGACTGCTCATTTGTTTCCGCATTCACTTCAAAGTATTAATGATGACTTATAAAGCCCTAAACGGTTTAGGGCCTCGATACCTGGCAGACCACCTTCTCCCACCTAGATTTACTTGAGTCACTCGCCAGAGCCAGGAAAGACGGCTGAGAGGCCTGATGCCGAGAGAGGCCCAGAAAGAAAGAACAGGAAACTGGGCCTTCTCGGCAGTGGCCCGACTTTGGAACAGCTTACCGCCAGAGATCTGCCTGGCACCCTGGCTGGGTGTTTTTAAGAGTCAATTTAAAACTTGGCTCTTTAGGCAGGCCTTCCCTCCCGCCAATTCTTGATTGTACTTTCTTGGCTTTTGTTGTTTATTCTCCCATCTTGATCATATTATTATTGTAGATTTTAATCATGGTTTTATTTGTTTGTGCACATTATGTTGTGAGCCACCCTGAGTATACTCCTGTCTAGAAGGGCGGGATATAAATCCAATAATGAATAAAATAAATAAATGTCCGAGCGGTGATTAGCTCAAAAGAGATGATATGGTGATGAGAGGGCATTTTAACTGAACTATCCTGTGACGGCAAGAAGAATGGCTGGCTGTTCTGGCAACTGATTAGAAAAATACAACTGCATAGTCTTGAGTACAAAAGTGAAATTGTCCTCCTGATTTAACTCAAGACAACAATGTGCCCAGGCTTAAAATGTCTAGGAAATACTGATTTTTCTGTAGGACTGAGTACTACTAATTACAGCAGTATTTCTCGCTCTTCTACTTCACTACTTTTTCCTTTGCTGTTGCTGTTAACATTAAGCAAACTCTAGGCTCTGTCTCACATTTAGCATTACAATTTGTTTAGAAGCCACTACACAGGAAGGGAGAACTTGGGTAGATGTAAATTACCAGACAAATCTTACACTCCCTTGGTAATACTGTACTTGGAAGTAGTGCCAGATTCTGCAGTTTATCTACTGTATGCTTCAGGTTTGAAATTCTGCCACTGTTCGGTAATATATATTCATTTCTTCCCTCTCTTGCAACCTGATAAGGATTTTCTTAATGTCAGCCCTCCTTCACAGCTTTGTCTTAAATACAGCACAACCCCTGCCATTTCTTTGCCTTGTTTAATCTTCTGAACTGTCTTCTCCACCTAAACAATTAGTCATGCTAAGGGTCTTCCCTGAAAAGTATTTTTCCTCCTTGCTTTCATAGAAACCTGATTTTATCTAGTTTAAGGAATGGAGAACATGTATCCCACCAGGTATTATTGGACCGCAGCTATCATCGTTCATCACCATTCCTCACGCTCTTCATTTATAATCGCTCTTTAAATGTTGTACAGTTTATTTTCAGATTTAATGGCTTACTTTTCTCCACCTCTTCCCCACCCTACCATGGTGACCATTCTTCTTTGGGGCAATTTCTTCTTTCAGGAAAATACTGACATGCAGCTTGCTATTCCTATTTCCTCTTCTCACTAGGCTTTTTAACCATAACAATTGTTCACATCAAATC